AAACAAAAGTCCTGGACCTGATAGCTGGCTTCACACGGGGGAGTTTTACCAAACACTGAAAAAAGAACTAACACCAATCCTTCTCAAACTATTTCAAAAGTTCAAGGGAGGAATCCCAAGCTCATTTTACGAGGCCAGCATTATCCTAATTCTGAAACCAGATAAAGACACTACAAAGGTGAACACAAATGCTAAAATCCTCAACAAAATATTAGCAAAGCAAATACAGCAATACACTAAAAGGATCCAACCCCATGACCAAGTGAAATTTCTTCCCAGGATGCTAGTTGCTACCACAATAACTACAAATCAACTAATGAGATACACCAAATAAACAAAATTAGTGATAAAAATCATATGACTATGTCAAGAGATACAGAAAAACCATTTGACAAAATCCAGCACCAATTTGTGATAAAAAGTCTCAGAAAAGTGGGGACAGAGGGAAAATACCTCAACATAATAAAGACCTTATATGACAAACCCAGAGCTAACACCATACTCAACAAGGAAAAACTAAAAGTATTTCTCTTAAAATCAAGAACAAGATAGGGATGTCCGTTTTCACTATTCTTATTCAATACTAGAGGCCTGGTGCATGAATTCCGTGCACCAGTGGGGTCCATTGGCCTGACCTGCAGGAATCAGGCCAAAACCGGCTCTCTGACATCCCCCAAGGGGTCCTGAATTGTGAGGGTACAGGCAATGCAGTGGGACCCCACCAGTACCTGATCGGGGCCAGGGAGAGACCGTGGGAGGGCTCCAGGGCATGTCCAGCCCGTCTTGCCCAGTCCCGATTGGGGCTATGAGAGCCGATCGGGGAGGGACCACAAGAGGTTGGATGGCCGGGGAGGGACCACGGAGGACTCCAGGACGTCTGGCCTGACTCACCCAGTCCCAATCGGCCGGACCCTAGCAGCAAGCCAACCAGTTGGATCATCTGCCCCCTGGTGATCAGCATGCATCACAGCGATTGGTTGAACGGTTGGACACTTAGCATATTAGGCTTTATTATATTGGATAGTACTGGAGGTTCTAGCCACAGCAATTAGAAAAGAAAAATTAAAGGCATCCAAATTGAAAATAAAATAAAACTGTCATTACTGTAGTTTTTTAATGGAGTCCTTAGGGTTCTCTATATATAACATCTAGAGGACTCCATTAAAACACTACTAGAACTGATAAATAAATTCAGTCAAGTAGCAGGATATAAAATTAATTTTCAGACATTGGTTGCATTTTTATATACCAACTAGAGGCCCACTGCATGAAGATTCATGCAATAGGCCTTCCTTCCCCTGGCTGTTGGCACCAGTTTTCCTCTGGCACCTGGGACCCAGGCCTTTGCTCTGGCTGCAGCAGAGAAGCTAAGCCTCAAGGCTTCTTTGCTCTGGCCACAACAGAGAAGCCAAGCATCTTCAGTCTTCAGGCATCTTCAGTCTTCAGTCTTTGCTAGGGCTAGAGCCTTCTGTCTTCACTCCACACCTGCACAGGCAAATTAACCCGCTATCTTTGTTAGATTAATTTGCATACTCACTCCTGATTGGCTGGTGGGTGTCACGGAGATAGTCAATTTTAATATTTATCTTTTATTAGTGTAGATAGTGAACTATTAGAAAGGGAAACGAAAAGAGCAACACCATTTATACTGTATCAAAAAATAAATAAGATACCTAGGAATTAATTTAACCAAGGAGATAAAAGACCTGTCCTCAAAAAAATGGTATTACACAGAAGAAAGAAATTGAAGAAAATAAAGGGAAACATATATCATGTTCACAGGTAGTAAGAATCAATGTCATTAAAATGTTCATACCAGCCGAAACCGGTTTGGCTCAGTGGTAGAGCATCCGTCTGTGGACTGAAAGGTCCCGGGTTCGATTCTGGTCAAGGGCATGTACCTTGGTTGCGGGCACATCCCCAGTAGGTGGTGTGCAAAAGGCAGCTGGTCGATGTTTCTCTCTCATCGACGTTTGTAGCTCTCTATCTCTCTCCCTTCCTCTCTGTAAAAAATCAATAAAATATATTTTAAAATAAATAAATAAATAAATAAATAAAATGTCCATACCACTCCAAACAATCTATAAGCAAACACAATTCCTATCAAAATATCAATGGTATATTTCAAAGAACTAGAACAAATAATTTGAAAATTAATACAAAACTATAAAAAAATCTGAAAAGCCTCAGCAACATTGAGAAAGAAGAACAAAGTTGGATATCACACCACCTGATATAAAACTATGAGGCCATAGTAATCAAAACTGATATGTAGATCATGAGAGCCCAAAAATTAACCCAAGTTCAATTAATATTTGGCAAAGGAGGCAAGAACATACAATGGAGTAAAGATAGTCTATTCAATAAATGGTGTTGGAAAAACTGGAAAGATACATGCAAAAAAATGTAATCAGACCCCCTTCTTATACCATATACAAAAATAAACTCAAAATGGATTAAAGACTGCCTAAACCGGTTTGGTTCAATGGATAGAGCGTCGGCTTGGGGACTGAAAGGTCCCGGGCTCGATTCCGGTCAAGGGCATGTACCTTGGTTGCGGGCATATCCCCAGTAGGGGGTGTGCAAGAGGCAGGTGATTGATGACTCTCTCTCATCAATGTTTCTAACTCTCTATCCCTCTCTCTTCCTCTCTGTACAAAATCAATTAAAAAAAATATATTTAAAAAAATGTATTAAAGACTGAAAATGTAAGACTTGAAACCATAAAAATCTTAGAAGAATACATAATAAAATCTCAAACATTTCTCTTAGCAATATTTTTTCTGATCTTTCTCTTTTGGCAAGGAAAACAAAGAAAAAATAAACAAATGGGACTACACCAAACTAAAAAGTTTTGCACAGCAAGGGAACCATCAACAAAACAAAAAGACAACCTATTAAATTGGAGAACATCTGATAAGGGGTTAATATCCAAATTTTATAAAGAACTAATACTATTCAACATTTAAAAAACAAACAATCCAATTAAAATTGGACAGAGGACCTGAATAGACTCATCTCTAAAGAGCATATCCAGAAGGCCATCAGACATAGGAAAAGATGTTCAACATCACTAACCATCAGAGAAATGCTATTAAAACCACAATGATATATCTCACACCTGTCAGAACAACCATCATCAATAAATGCACAAACGACAAGTGCTGAAGAGGATGTGGAGATAAAGAAACACTAGTGCCCTGTTAGTGGGAATGCAGACTGCTACCGTCACTATGGAAAACAGTATGGAGTTTTCTCAAAAAAAGAAAAAGGAAATTGTCCTTTGACCCAGTGATTCCTCTTCTGGAGATTTATCTAAAAAAACAACAACACCCAAATTACTCATTTGAAAGAATATATGCATCCCAATGTTCATTGCAGCATTATTTATGATAGCCAAGATGTGGCAGTAATTCACTACCCATAACAGACAAGTGGATATATTATGGATAAAAAAGTTGCAGTACGTATATAAAATGGAATATTACTCAGCCAAAAAAAGAATGAAATCTCACCATTTGCAACAACATGGATGTACCTTGAGGATATTATGCTCAATAAATTAGTCAGAGAAAGACAAATACCATATGCTCTCCCTTATATGTGGAATCTAAAGAACAAAATAAATGAACAAGTAAAACTGAAACAGACAGACACAGAGAGTGGGCTTGTGGTTGCCAGAGGGAGGTTGAGGGGGACTAGGAGAAAGAGGGAAGAGGTGAAAGGGATTAAGAAGTACAACTAGTAGTTATAAAACAGTCACAGGGATATAAATTACAGCATAAGGAATATACTCGATAATACTGTAATAACTATGCATGGTGCCAGTTGGATACTGGAAATATCTGAAGGGCACTTTGTAAAGTATATGAGTGCTGAACTACTATGCTATACATCTGAAACCAATACAAAATATTAGGGAAGTAAACTGTAATGGAAAAATTTAAATTAGAAAAATAAACAAAAAAGCAAAAAATACTACCACCATTTGCCCATCATCCAGAACTGAAATATCATTGCTGACATGTACACATAAGGCACTGTTTGACACTGAAATTGGGTCTCAAAAGAACTGGTGGCCCAGAATGAAGCTCTCTACAGACTAATGCATATGCCTTTCAGCATAACGATTATTGCTTGTTTCATTTTTTATTCTTATAAATATATTTCCAGTAGGACATGATCTTACTCATCTAGGGGAAATGGTGAACAACATAGACTGATGAACAAGAACAGACCCAGAGATAAGGAGCCATGGGTCAGACTGTTGGATCTCAAAGGGAGGGTGGGGATAAAAGGGAGAGATCAACCAAAGGACTTGTGTGCACACATATGAGCCTAACCAATGGTCAAGGACAATAGGGGGGTGGGGGCATGGAGGGGGTGGGGTGGGGATTAGAATGGGGGGTTGAGGACAAATATGTGATACCTTAATCAATAAAGAAATTAATTTAAAAAAACATCAAATTTCTTGTTTAAAAAATAGAATTTGTGGAGTTAATGATTTTTTATGCTATTTTTAAAAATGAATTTTTATTGATTTTAGAGTGGAAGGGATAGGAAGAAAGATAGAAACATCAATGATGAGAGGGAATCATTGATTGGCTGCCTTCTGCATGCCCCCTACTGGATAGAGCCCAAAACCTGGGCATGTGCCCTTGACCAGAATCAAACCCAGGACCCTTCTGTCCACAGGCTGACGCTCCTCTATCCACTGAGCCAAACCAGCTATGCTGATTATTATTATTTTTTTAAAATATATTTTACTGATTTTTTTACAGAGAGGAAGGGAAAGATATAGAGAGCTAGAAACATCGATGAGAGAGAAACATCGACCAGCTGCCTCTTGCACACCACCTACTGGGGATGTGCCCGAAACTTAGGTACATGCCTTTGACTGGAATCGTACCTGGGACCCTTCAGTCCGCAGACCAACGCTCTACCACTGAGCCAAACCGGTTTCGGCTGATTATTTTTCTTAAAGATAAGCTTCAACTCACCTAGATCTGGCCATGAATATGCTTAACCTCTGCTGCAGCCGCAGGAGTTTAATCATACTTCAGAACACCATGTTTTCTTTGTTTGATGACTTAACCTAAAAGAGAGGAGAATTTTTTATTTCTTTTAAAATAATAATTTTCCTTATGAGACTTCTGGCAGCACTGTTAGTTCAAATTATCTATTTAAACCCAAAATATCTAAAATTTGATTAAAATTATTATTACGTTTTATTGTTATCCTCACCCAAGGATATTTTTCCATTAATTTTTTTTTTAAGAGAATAGAAGGGAGGGAGAGAAACAGAGAAAGAGAAACATCGATGTAAGAGAGACATATTGATTGGTTGCCTCCCACAGATGCCCTGATGAGAACCAGGGACTGAGCCTGCAGCCTAGGTATATGCCCTTGACAGAAATCAAACCCTTAAGTCTGCAGACTGACACTCTATCCACTAAACTAAACTGGCTGGCTAGGGCTAAAGTTCATCTAATAGATAAGATATATATTTAAATATGATGTGTAGATGTTATAATTAATATGGCCTTTTCAAAAGAGAAAGTAAAAATGTAATAGTTTGAGTTCTATGTTTAGAAATATCAGGGCTTTTAGAAGCCATTGATTCTGGCTTTTCCTTTATAGCTATCACTTTGGATAACCCACTTCTCTATCCTTACCTTCCCAGCCATAAAATGAGAAGTAAACTAAATCACCTCCAATATTCCTTTCCAGTTCTAAAGCCCTATTTTAGCCAGTGGCAGGCTAATTTTCTACCTTCAGTCACTTTTCTAAAACCTCATCATCATCCTTCCAAAAAGCAGTCAGTGACCCTCTTTACAATCCCTCCTCTGCATCTTCCTATTCTATGAGAAGCCCCCAGAACAAAATCAGGAGTCAGTCATCACTAAACAGTCCATAAGAACAAACATGGCAGAGTTACAGGACAATATAAGTTATAGCACTCAATTGCAATCTACAGTTTCAAGAGATTTCAATACACTTTTGAAATTTTTCTGGTGAATTTACTTACTTTTTAAATTGATTTTTTTTTTAAGAGAGAGGAAGAGGAAGGGAGAGAGAGGGGGAGAGAAAAGGGGAGAGAGAGAGGGAAAGAGGGAGAGAAAGAGAGAGGGAGAGAGGGGGGAGAGGGAGAGAGAAAGGGGGGGAGAGAGAGAGAGGAGAGGAGGAAGAGAGAGGATAAAGGGAGAGAGGGGAGAGTTAGATGAGAAGGGAGAGGGGGAGAGAGGGGAGGAGGGGAGAGGGAGAGGGAGGGAGAGGAGAGGAGAGGGGGGAGAGAGGAGAGGGGGGAGGGGAAGGGGAGAGGGGGGAGGGGAGGGGAGAGGGAGAGGGGGAGAGGGGGAGGGGGGAGAGGGGGAGGGGGAGAGGGGGAGGGGAGAGGGAGAGAGGGGGGGGGGAGAGGGAGAGGGGGAGAGAGAGGGGGGGAGAGGGAGGGGGAGAGAGGGGGGAGGAGAGAGAGAAGTGGGGAGAGAGAGAGGGGGGGAGAGGGCGGGAGGAGAGAGGGGGGGAGAGGGGGAGGAGGGAGAGAGAGGGGGGAGAGAGGGGGGAGAGAGAGAGAGAGAGAGGAGAGAGGGAGAGGGAGAGGAGAGAGAGAGAGGGAGAGGGGGAGAGAGAGAGAGAGGGAGAGGGGAGAGAGAGAGAGGGGAGAAAGAGAGAGGAGAGAGAGAGAGAGAGAGAGAGAGAGAGAGAGGAGAGAGAGAGAGAGAGAGAGTGAGTGTGATGGATATACGAAATATTGATTATACAACTGGGAACCAAACTCACAATTTAGGTATGTGCCCTGAACAGGAATTGAGCCTGCAATCTTTCAGGGAACAGGACAATGCTTCAACCAACTGAGCCATAGCAGCCAGGACGTTTATTCACTTGTTACAGCACAGAAAAAATTAAACTCACTCAAACACAGGCACTAACATTTATTGCTATACTATATCTGTACCAACTGAGATGATTATGTTTTTTATCTTCTATTAATGTGTATTATATTGACTGATTTTTATATGTTGTAAAATCCTTGCATTGCAAAAACAAATCGCACTTTAGCTGATTTTAGTTTACTACTCAATAGTACTTTGTTGAGGATTTTTGAATCAGTGTTTGTAATGGATTTTGGTTTGTATTTTCCATGTGGTTTCTTTATCTGGCTTTGAGTTAGCAAAGTGTTCCTTCATCTCCAATTTTTTGGAAAAGTTTGAGAATTGATATGAGTTCTTTAAATGATTAGAAGGATTCACCAGTGAAGCCACGGCTTTTTTTAGTCAAGAGATTTTTGATTACTTGATATTTTTTACTAGTTATAGCTCTGTTCAGATTTCCTATTTCATTTGTGATTTAGTCTTGGTAAATTTTGTGTTTCTTGGAATTTTGTCTGCTTCATCTAGGTTATTTAATTTGTTGGTGTGCAATTGTTCATAATATTATCTTATAATCATTTTTATTTTGACAGAATCAGTAGTGATGTCCCCACTCTCATTTCTGATTTAAGTATTTTGAGTCTTGTATATGGTCTATAGCTATTTTCTTTGTAATTGCCATAAGGATTACACTCTGCATTCTGAAGTTATACCAGTCCAGTTTGAATTTAAACCAGCTTGACATCAATAATATACAAAAACTCTGCTCCTTTAACAGCTCTGTCCTCACTCCTTTCAGTTATTAATGTCACAAAACTACACCTTTTTACAGTGCACCCAGAAAAATAAACAATTATTTTAATTATTTTTCTTAAATTATATAGAAAAGAAAGAAATGCAAACCAAAGTTAAAATACTAGCTTTCAGGTAAGTTTTTTTTTCTTTCTTAGAATGTAGAAGTCCCTTAAATACTAAATCAGAAAACAAAAAAGTACAGTTACAATCTATTATAATAGTACTAGTTTTTAGAGTTCCCCTTGTGAGATCTTTATTTCTCCACATGGCTTCAAGTTGGTATACAGTGTCCTTTTGTATCACCTTGCAGGACTACCTTTCTTAGAGAATGCATTTCTTAATTACATGTCTAGTGGTAATAAATTCCAACTTTTGTTAATCTGATGTCTTCCTTTCTCCGTCCCTCATTTTTGAAAGACATTTTTTCAGATATAGAATCCTTGGTTGACGATTCTTTTGTGGGTCTTTTAGCATTTTCAATATATATATATGTCTACTTCTGTCTGGCCTCTAAAGTTTCTGATGAATAGTTTAGTAATAATTTTATTGAGGATTCCTTGAATGTACAACAACAATTTGCTTCTGTCTTGCTGCTTTCAAGAGTCCTGTATAATAAACTGGAGTATAATGTGTCTTGGTGTGGGTTTCTGTGGGATAATCTTACTTGAAGTACAATGAGCTCCTTAGATATTTATACTCATTTATTTCTATATACTCTGTGCCTCTTTCTCTTCCCCTTCTCGAACTTCCACAAAATGTGTTAGACCACTTGATGGTGCCCCACAGATCCCGTAGGCTCTGCTCATTTTTCTCCAATCTGTTCCTCAGACTGAATAATTTTCATTGTTCTATCTTCAACTTTGCTGATTTGTTGTTCTGTCTACTCACTAAGTCTTTGAATCTTTCTACTAAATTTTTCATTACAGTTATTGTACTTTTTAGATCCAGAATTTGTATTTGGTTGCTTTTTATGTTTCCTATTTCTTCATTGACATTCTTTTTATTCATGCATAGTTTTCTTGACTTTTTCCACATCTTCCTTAGTGCTCTGAACATCTTTAAGAGAGTTGTTTTAAAGCTTCTGTGTAATATATCTGCAATCAGATCTTTTTCACCAGTGGTTTTTATTGATTTTCCCCCTTTGAATGGGCCATACTTTATTTCTTTGCATGCTTTGTAATTTTTGTTTTTAAAAACTGAACATTTGAATCTAATAATAGTATAACTATTTTGTTGGTTTACTTATTTATTTTTTACAGTTATAGGCTATCTCTGCACTAACTGTTAGCCTGAGGTGTAAACCTAAGGTGTTCTCAGGTCTTTTCTGAGCCTTTCCTTTGGTGCATGTGGTCACTTTCTAATTTTTCCTGTGTATGCAATGTCACTGATTTCTAGTCTTTAATTTCTGGTTCCCAAAAAGGGGCAAAGGAGAAAAATGAATGAAGCAAAAGAGGATACTAGCTCTTTAAACATCCTGGAAATCACTTCAGCTGGACAAGAAGCTTGCAACAATAGGGAGGCACAACACAATGGTTGCCCATCTCTTAGTCTGCTCCTCTACTATCAAAAGCAGTAATTACACACGGATTCCTGATATTTGAGAGGGTCCTCTGGACCTGCCCTGGGTCCTATAAGCCGTGTATAAGAGGTACAGGGCTGGGAGAAGATGATGGGTAGCTGCTACTATGTAAAAAGTTAAAATTGATCAAAATTAAGTGCAATTTACATCTAAGGCTTTTCTCCTGAAAGCTACAAATCCTCAATAGCTCCAGAGTTCTAGAATAATTACATCAGGTTCTGCCTGTGCAGGGGAGATAGAGTCTGGATGCTTGCTATTCCACCATCTTCACAGAATCTTCTTCAGACCTCTTTGTAAGGATCAATATACAGTTTATGGTTTTAATTATTTTGATTATTGGCATTGCCAATGTATTGTGTTTTTACTGTTTTTTATTGCAAATATCCACCATGTCAGTTGTATCAGGGATTAAAAGAATTCATGTACCTCATTTAAAAGGATACTTTCTACAAGAAAATATGTTTGGGTTCCAAATAACTGACATATCATAGTACTTATGGAATGAACATAAGCCGATGGGTTGCAGGTGTCCTGCCACTGATTTTTGGAACATGGATACCTTAGATACTCTCCAGGACTTCTTAACTCTCTTTGGTTTCTTCCCACTAATGGAAGGCTTAGAGCCAAAAGGTGATTGGAAATAGTAAAAGGGAAGCGGTAACTATAGCCACTATACAGAGCTGTGATCTTATTGTGACATGATTGTTCTTCTATAAAATAGGCATATATAGCTGCATGTACTATGATTATATAACTCAAGAAAAATACGAGTTTAACAGGATAATCATCAAGAAGCTAAAAATTACACTAAATACTGTTAATGACACCTTATTTTTCAATAGTAAACTGATT